TTAACTCCTTTCATCAACAAGATCATGCTCCTGGTGTACAACTTTCTTGTGTCAAAAAACTGGTGAGATCCCTCTAGCCTAGTCAGTTTCTTTCGATGTGAGTTATACTCACAAGAAATTACAATATCCTAGACACACTAAAGAGTAGGTATGCAGACACTCCACTGCTTTTCTTTATTTAGATCCCATCAGTCCTTTCTAACTTTCTTCCCACCGCCCTATCCCCCCTGGATCAGATATAGGAGCAGGAGCAAGTTGCTAAGTCTGCTGTCTAAAGAAATGTTTAGCTATAGAAGGAGAAGCCCATCTTCTATTTTCCTAAGATGACATTTCCAATAATTAAATATATATATACTTGATTAAATATATGTATGAATTATATTACATTAAAATAGATTATTAAATATATATTAAAATTGTCATATGTATGTGTATTGAGTACTTGATATTGGTTATTGGCTACGGACTACTTGAAATATGGTTAATATGGCTAAGAGAATACATTTTTACTTTAATTTAATTAATTTCTATTTAAATTTAAGTAGGCATATGTACCTTGCATAGTAGCATTTTTAAAAATTTTTTTATTGTTATGTTAATCCCCATACATTACATCGCATAGTAGCATTTTATCTGTTCATCTCAGAGCATACATAATAAATGACTGAACTATTGAAGAGCTCTTTGTAGGCATTTTTTTCTATCCAAAATTTGGGTTAGTATCGTTTCTGGCTTATTGTGTTGGTATCTATTGGCTAAAGTATTAGACTGCACTTAAGAACTTACTTATCCATATGTACCTTTTCATCCATACGTATCCATATGTAACCTGCAGAAGGAGATGGTGAGTGTTAGTTGACATTTCCTTGTTAGCAAGGCCTGGGAAGAAGTATCTGGACCCCTGGGATATCTTTGGATTGAGAAACCCCACTGTCTATTCTAGGGCAAGAAAAACATATTAGTTATGGTTTTTTCAAAGTCTGTGTATTTTAACGGTAACGTATAAATCATTGGAGCTATTTCTTTTTTTTTAATGCCTATTCTGTCACAACAGAAAAGACTGTTAAACTTATGTTCCAGGATTAGAGATTTTAATTGACCCGAGTTAATTTTTAATTAACCTTAATTAATTAATTAATCTGAATTAATATACAAAAGTGACCCAGAAGCTACACAATCTGCTAAAGATATCTTAGAGCCATTTGAATATGTCATCTAAGAAAGCATGGTTAAAAACAATTATGAAGTATTTTTAAAATCTGTTTTATTTTATATCTTCTGATTAAAAACTGATTACCCATTTCTACAGTTGGCTGTTTTCCGTTTTGCCTTAGCTACATGGAAGCTGAGTGTGGAAACTTCATTGATCCAACTGCTTTCTTCTTTTTAAATTCTTTTTTGCTTCTTCTTACTGTTCTCTGCATTTTCTTTAAGTTGCTCGGAATGTCCATTCTTTCTTATATTCATTCCCACTGAGAGTTTATCTTATATTCTGCTGAGATACTTAAAGCAAAGTACTTAGAATCACAACGCAGAAAGAGGCCTTGCAAAAATAATCCAGTGTCCTCTCTACCTGCCTTTCATCTATCAAAAATGTAATTTGCTAGGGTATTACGTTTCTTTCCGTCATTATTATGCTGTCACAAAAAAAGCGATCTTTCATCTCCATGTGCGTTGAAGAATTAAACATAGTCTGTGCCCTCTTCCTAAAGATCGTTTAATGAGCCTGGAATGACAATTTCCTTTTAGTCTCCTTTTTTATTTTTGAATGGATATCTGATGTTTTCTTTTTTAAGTATCACTAAAATCTTCCAATTGAACAAACTTTGTACTGAGAAAATCATAGAGCTAAGAAAATGTACTTACTCTACCAAGAAGCCTATATTTTAAGTGATTTCACCCACAAGTATTGTTCATAGTATGAATCGATAAAAGTGGTGATGAGTCATTATTAAGGAACAATGACAGTTTTCTGTTGTTTTCCTCTTTACTCTATATTTTGAAGCATATCATCCCTAGCTGGGGTTTTAAAATTAATCTGAAATATTTTAGTTCCCTTTCAGACTTATTCTTTCTCATGTTTTGGGACTGAAGTTTAAAGAACTAGATGAGGGGCGCCTGGGTGGCTTAGTCAGTTAAGAGTCTGCCTTCGGCTCAGGTCATGATCCGGCTCCGAGTCAGGCTCCTTGCTCAGTGGGGAGCCTACTTCTCCCTCTCCCTCTGCCTGCTGCTCTGCCTACTTGTGCTCTTTCTCTCTGCCAAATAAAAAAATTAAAAACAAAACAAAACATATAAAGAACTAGATGAAATACCAGCAGCCCCAAGTCATAAAATAGGGTACATAATAACTAAGGAAATACTCATAGTTTGCAAATATACATTTATTAAGTTACCTATTGAATATCTTCATCAATAGCAATGATCTACATTGGACTCACTAATGTGATTCTTCTTTTGTCTTATCTCAGATGAACGTGATTTCTGTTGCTCATGAACTATTTCAGTGTGGCTCATGTCCTAATGCAAAAGTTAATACTTTTCTAGTGTTATATATTTGTCTCATGATTGGTTAAGGAAATACTGATATCAGGAAACCAGGATAGAACACTCATATCTAAAACTTTCTATACTATATATGTGAAAAGTATGTCGTATAAATAAAAATGCCCTCAAGAATCATTTATTTCTCAGCATAGGCAATGTTCAGCCCTTATTATCATGTAATAAAGAGATGTTCAGTGTTCGTTGATTTATCAGATGAACTGAAAAAAATCTAATTAAATAAGTCTGGTATGTTGCACTTAATTGCTTATAACCGGCAATAAATATACTTACAAATGGAACTAATAAACGTATGTTTTTTTAAATTAATTGGCTTTCATAAAATCCATTCTGTAAATCTAGCTAAAACTAGCTTAATTGTATGATATTTATTGGCTTCAATTCATAGTCAAAAATAAATGGCAAACAATTAAAGCAAATCATCTCAGAAGTCATCAGCCTAAGTTAAATTATAAAGCCTTCTATAAATCATATGACCTACTTTTATTTAAGAAATCTAATTGTTGGCTAGCAGATTGAATTACATTACCATGTATTGTATAGGTCTAGAGACTTATACTTTTGCATACTAAAACTATTTTTAACAAATATGGTATATACCATGTAATAAAATCTTTACCTGAGGAAAACCAAACTATGTAAACATTATTATGTTTTTCTAAGTGTAGTGTGTTTTTTAATTGCAAAGGATAAAATTAAATATTGTTTTAAAATTATATAATCACTGTTTTTCAAAATACCTCAAGTTTTCCATTGAATTCTTGCTAGCATGGCAAATCTGCCAAATTGGAAGTTTCCAAGACAGGGGGCTTGGGGCTGGATAGAGACTCCAGGCAGGCTTAGCTACGTGTTAGAAGGGGAGGTGTGTCCTGCCAGGTCGAACATAGCGTTTGAATTGTAAGAATGATAAATATTAGGCCAAAAATGGGAAGTCAGATAAACTTTAGAAAGGAGAACTGAGTAAGTGTTACTAAACATGCCACTTTATTATAGAAACTTTCAATCTACAAGGAGGTTTTTCTGCTTTATTTTGTTTGCATCATCTCTATAAAAATCTCTGTGAGATATGATAGGTTTTCTTCTTGAAATGGTTTTCTTCTTCTTGTCTACACTGTGAACCCTTTACATTCACTCTTCAACAAGTATTTGCAAATTAGTAAATGAATTCTTTATATTTTATTTGGTGGGACAGGGGAAATAAAGTAAACCATGTGAAAATACTTTTCATAGCAAACTAAAAACCATAATCCAATATTATTGCAGGTATTCATTAATCATGTCATTTGATAAACACTTAAAAGGCTGGATCTGCACTACACATTTTGATAGACTATAAAAATACTGATATACAATACATAGCACTTAAGACTAACTGAGAAAACACAAATGGTTATGTACAAAACACAATAGATGAAATCCACAGTGACATCTCTACAATACACTCTGTGAAATTTAGACAAAAATACACTTAATTCTGGAGCCAGCATAAACAACCTAAAGGAATGTTGTTAACAGGGAAGAAAGAAGCAAGAACAAATATTTATGAAGCTCCTCATAAGAATCAGACCTGAAGGTGGATGGTTTATAGACATTATCTCCTTCAATCCTCATACCCATGCTTCAAGTCCCATTGTGTGCTAGAACATCCTTTTGCTGGCTCACAATAGCTATTTATTAGATACTGTCCCAACTCTGCATTCAGTGACTTCACGTTTGTATCCTTAAATCAACCATTGTGGGAATATTTACCCATGGGTATCGGCAAAATCTACAAATCAGGGCTTCCCCACTATGGGAACAAGGCTGTTAAACAGTTACCAACACACCACTGATAGGCATTAAGTAGGATTGTGTAATATTTAGGTTCTAATATCCATTCGAATTCTAAAACCCTATCATGTAGCAGAGAGTAAATTATCTAGTAAATTTTATTGAATTTACTTCCTTAATTTTAATGAAGGATTTAGATATTTGTAACTTTTTTAGGTTGTACATTAAAGTGTTTTTAGGGTGCCTGGGTGACTCAGTTGGTTAAGCATCCAACTCTTGATTTCAGCTCAGGTCATGATCTTAGGGTCTGGGATCAAGCCCTGAGTCAGGCTCCACATTCAGCATGGATTCTGCTTGGAATTCTCCCTCTCCCTCTCCTTCTGCCCCTCCCCTTGCTCATGCTCTCTCTCTCTCTCTCCCTCTAAAATAAAATAAAAAAATACTTAATGTTTTTAGTTAAAAATGTTAACTTTTACGTACATAATTGATTTTTTAACTGAAAAGATATTTGTGTTTTTGTAATGGGCAATGTTTCTTAATTTCCCAATGAGGAATATTTTATTATTTAAATGGCAAATGTTATTTATGAAGATTTATTTAAAGCTAAGATTTATTTAACACAACCTCTAATCTTATCTTTGACCATTCTTTGTGTTGGTATTTTGCAGTGAGGCCCACAGTAATTGAAACTGACGTTTATGTGAACAGTATTGGACCAGTTGATCCCATAAATATGGTGAGTGATGAATATTAAAAATAATTGTCTGCCATAGAGTTCTTGAGTATATACCCCAATAATAGAATGGATATGTGATGAATTCTGATAGCTTATCCTGAAAGAGTTCAGAGCAACTGTGAAATGAATGTGTGCCAGGTTCAGGGACTAGCGCTAAAATATCCCATATCTAAGAATGTGTAACCTCTTACTCCAATGTGCTGTGTTGGTAGGAACTATGCTAGGGCATGAAAAATTATCACCTCATCCATCACGAGTAGATCCCTGAAGAAATCTGGAGAGAGATAACCACAAGGACTGAGGGGAAAATAGAGAAGGAAAAGGACTTACTGGCAGAGTGGGAGCATGCACAAGATGATGGAGGAATGCAACAACCTGATAAGATCAGGGGAACTTCCAGGGGTTTGATAACACTGGAACATAAAGTGCAAGTAAGGAAGTGAGGCTGACAGAATGTCTATGGTCCTTATTAAGGAGAGTCTTCTCAGCCATGATAAGAAGTGTGTGTTATATGAATTGTATTCCCTTAGATCAGAGAAATGATGGAAACTTTTCATCAGGAGGGTACCATAGGTGAATTTATATTTTTAATAAATCACTTTCCAACAGTGTGGAAGATGGACAAGACCATTAAGAGGGTTAGAGACACCAGTTAAGAGGTTGCTGTAGTCTGGTCAATGTATCTTCTATTCTGAGGTAATCCCAAATTCATATTCTGAGATACTGGAGTTTAGGGCTTCAATATATGAATTTGAGGGGGACACTAGTCAGCCCATAACACCATCCAAAGATAATTCTTAAAACTTTGCTGATTTTCTCTCTTAACCTCATTTATTCATTAGTACAAGAGTCAGATCATCCCTTTCTTATAGACCTTAACCCCTTTTTTATCTTAATGGCCATCATGCCTAACAGTTGCCTGTGTCTGATGATTACTGTCAGCCCCGTTTTTTCTCTTACTTAATATGACGTTCACATGATTGTCATTAACTTTCACAGCTGCCTGCATTGACTACTGTACTGACAACATTTGGGCCAAACCATAGCTAACATCTTTGTCTCCTTATTACAAAGGAATAGGAATTGGCTGTGGAAATAAGTTGAATTTGAGAATCTGAAATGAGGAACTCTCAGGAGAAAGTTAGAGCTGGAGCAAGTATTTGTCAGAAATGAGCTAAACCTCTTAGAGATGGGAACAACAGTCTTAAAGTAAAGAGAAGAAAAAAGGAATAAATATCAGACCTTAAGGAACACATACATTTAAGGACCTGAGAGATGAAGCTGAGATGGTAAAAGAATCAGCAAGGTTGGCAAGAAAATGGAGGCAAAACAGTGGCAAAGAGACCAAGGTGAAGGAAAGTTCAAATACGTTTTCGAGTATTGGCTCTGTCCCAATTGACTTCCTAAACAAACCGCTGGTTTTTGTAAAGCTAAAGCATTCTCTATGCCTGTGTGTATTAATTTAACACTATGCAAATATGAAATTTTATAAAGTAATAGATTATTAAAATGCTAATTTTCTTCTTAGGAGAATCTTACAACGTTTAGTTTCCAATTAACCAATGCTTAAAGAAGACAGGCCCATTAGAGCTTATGGGCGTCTACATTTTCTGAATTGTATATGTTTAGTCTTGGGTTCTTGTTTTTAATTTGAATGAATTGATTTTAAAAAAATGTGGTCATTAAAATAAAGAGAAATAGGATTCAAGGCTGTATTCATATTCCAGAGATACTTTGACAAGAATGAATACTGAGGGGCGCCTGGGTGGCTCAGATGGTTAAGCGTCTGCCTTCGGCTCAGGTCGTGATCCCAGGGTCCTGGGATCGAGTCCCGCGTCGGGCTCCCTGCTCCTTGGGAGCCTGCTTCTCCCTCTGCCTCTCTCTCTCTCTCTGTCTCTCATGAATAAATAAATAAAATCTTAAAAAAAAAAAAAAAAGAATGGCTACTGAGAAACTTCTATGATGATCTTCCTATATAAAAGTTTCATGGTATTAAAGATTTAGTTTTCTCAGGAGGGCGAACTACATACTTATAACCTTGGCCAGTGATAGTTTTTTAAAAAGCTAATTAAATGAAATTGCTATTAAAACTGGTGATACTAAAGCACATACAAGAAAAGAAGACATAGAATACTTGCTAGTGTTTATTAAAAGAGAAACATTGTCATACTGGGGATTAATAAGGAGGAGTTTACATAGAAGACTGTTTTAACTAAACAATGCAGGGAAATTAGAATTCAGTTTTCATAAAATGAACAACATTGTTTTGCATATGAATGTAATCAAGCAAGCAGATTTGTGTGTAATTAAGCAACCAAGAGGATAGGTTTCCCCTTCCCCCCTTAACAACTCATACAATTTAAGTTACTGGTAAGGAACAAAATTAATGTATTAGCTTAATGGTTTTATTTTTTTTTAATTAGCCAATATTTGGCTTCATGAAAAATGGTTATTTATTTTTAAGACTGGCTATAATAAATAATATCTCTTTAGATTACTGGTAAGACCTAAAACATTATTCTATAATAAGATATGCTTTTCCTTACCTTTTTTCAGGGTTAGATTAATGACTTCAATCGTGGTATCACTATCAAAAAAGTAGGATATTCAATAATTGAACATTGAACAAATGTATAATTTAGTCAATAAATAGATTAATTCTATAGCTTACATTTTGAGAATTTAAATTCAAAATGAGTAACAGATGCACTAATGAGGACTGAACAAGAATAAAATAATTTGGATAGAGGCTGTTCAACTATGTGTGCTCTAATTAAAACTCTGAGTTATGTATGAGCACTGAGAACTGTATAGAATTGCTGAATCACTATATTATACACCTGAAACTAATATAACACTGTATCTTAACTATACTGGAATTAAAATTTTTAAAAAGTTAATAATAAAAAACAATCTTAAATATAAACAGAACAAAAATATACAATCAGAACTGAAGGCAAAAAAAAATGTTAATAGAGGTTATTAGCCTGGATTTAAATGTTTTTTAACTTCTTAATTTTGGGGGCTTTGGAGAAATTATGTGATTTTATTCTTTTGGGTAAGTGTCTTAGGATTATAAAACAATAGCAGCTTTTCCTCTGACTAGCTAATACAGCGTTCAAAGGGCATAGCAATTCTCTGAATCAAGTCAAAATCAATAAGACATCTAGGGAATCCAAGATGAAATTATGGGTAACTAAGGAGGCTAAACACAAGGGGAATAAGGGGGCACCTGGGTGGCTCAGTCGGTTAAGCGTCTGATTTCGGCTCAGGTCATGATCTTGGGATCCTGGGATCGGCCCTAAGGCAGGCTTCCTGATAGGCGGGGAATCTGCTTGTCCCTCTCCCTCTGCCCTACCCCCCAGCAATGTGCTCACTCTCTCTGTCCCTCTGCCTCTCTCAAATAAATAAATAAAAATCTTTATATATAAAAAACACAAGGGGAATAAGTACAGAAACAGTGATAGATGAAAATTCCTGGTATAGCTTGGAGGGAAAGGCCAAGCAGGCTCTGCACGAGGTGGTAGAAATACCACCAGGCCATTGGGTAGGCATACACCATGACCTCCCTGGAAGACACACTGACCATTGTCACTGTGGACCACTCCCATGTCTTCATCTTTGGCAGGTACACCCCCCTGGCAACTCTATCTTTGGCCCCCATGGTAAGCAATACAGACAAGAAGTCCTTCACTGCCATCCTGTATGGCAATGGGCCTGGCTACAAGTGGTAGGCCATGAGCGAGATAATGTCTCCATGGTGGACTATGCTCACAGCAATTACCAGGTGCAGTCTCCCATGCCTGTGCACCCTGAGACCTATGACAGGGAGGACGTAGCCATCTTTGCCAAGGGTCCCATGGCACATCTGCTGCACGGCATCCAGAGCAGAACTACATTCCCCCATGTGATGGCTTACATGGCCTATATCAGTGCCAACCATGACCACTGTGCCTTGGCCAGCTTAGCAGGCGGCGCGTCCCCAGGCCCCCTGCTTGTTCAGCTAGCCCTGCTCCCCTTGGGCATCCTATTCTGAGGGTCCAGGGCCTGGGCACCCACCAACCTATGACAGATGGCCAGCCTTCCTCTTTTAGCACTGCCCACAGCCTGGGAGCCCACATCTCAATGGCCAGGTGGGTGGGGGTTTTCAAAGTCTCTACAGCTGCCAGGAGGAGGACCCAGGAAACCAAAGATGGCTGCCTGCCTCACTCTTCTCTGGAATCTTCCACTGAGGCCAGACCAGTGCCTGGCCTCCAACCTCTGCTCCCTCCCTGCTGTTCTTTTGGCCAAGACAGTAGGTTTCTCATGGGTAGGTGGAGAACACAGACTGCAGAAATTCCCAAAGCATCTTATTTTTCTAGCAAACATATTTTCCAGACCTGGAGGCCCTGGAGCTTCCATGGAACATTCCAGATCTAACCTTTCCACTCCCTTCTCCTCTGGAACCACCAGGCCCCACATGCTCATGTCCCTACCTGCAGAAGAGACCAAGTCCTTCTCTGCAGGATGGGAGTTTGCTCCCTCACTCATTCCAAGGCCTTCCAGGGCTCCCATAAAGTGAACTCCTTGGACTGGCCATCCAACCCCAGGGTGGCAGGGCTGGGAAGAGCAGCCTGGAGAGACAGACACTTCCCAGCTCTCAATATGCATGCCCACTCCTCTCTGAAGTGAGACTCCTGTTTGGAAGGGCAAATTTCTTTTTCTCTTTTTGTTGTTGGTTAAAAGGGAACACAAAACATTTAAATAGAACTTCCCCCGCCAAAAAAAACCCCTTTCTGAATATTTCTGGCAATAAAAAATAAGAAAATTACAGGTATGATTTGGACATGGGTTTACTTATAGAAACTGGTACACCCTTATTTAGTCCAATATTAAGAGATTACTGATATGAGCACTTGGAAAGCATGGGCCCAGAGAGAGAAGCAAACTCAATGACATAGATTCATCTAGAGGGTGTTATGCTAAGCAAAATAAGTCAGTCAGAGAAAGATAAATACCAT